TTAAATACTTGACAATAATTTCCTGATTATTATATAAAATAAAATTAATATTCACAAATACTATACTAATAAAACTAAAATAAGTACAGTATATTTTGCTTAAGATAATTAAATTATAATCATACTTACTTATAATCATATTTATACTTTGTTAGTATATGAATGTAATACATATTAAATTGCAGTATTATATGCAAAATGATATAAATTGTTGTTAGATATTTGTATTTTAAAAATTTTATTTAATGTTTAATATAATGTCAAGTATTTATATTATATGAAATGATATAATATTTTATTCTTAACATAATTTTATAAAAAATTAACTTTAATTATAGCAGATTTCCAAATACTTGACATTATAATGTCAAGTATTACCCCTTCCCTTGATACTTGACAGGATCCTCAAATACTTGAATGTCAAGGTGAAATACTTGACAATGGGCAGTCTAACTACTGGGCCATACGGTGCCCATCAGTGGACAGACAGGTATCGCGAAGGCTAAGCGAGAGGTTGGATGCAAAGGTCGGTTTAATAGTTATAGATATAAATGCAAAGGACACTGCAAACATGGCAAGGTACTTTATTTTAAATTATATAATTTAATTGTTTTACTTACGGCTGATTATTATTGTAATAGTTCCGAGGTGGTTATTGTCACAAGGGTGAATTCAGATGCAAATGTTATGGTTAAATTAGTATATCAAAAAGACCTTGGTAATAACAAATTATATATAATGTTTTTTACCAGAAAATTGTTTAATGGAGAGAGAGAGATCAATTTATATATGACCTACATTACAATTAGTAAATTGTTATTTGATTTATTTTAAATATGCTTAAACACTTTAGTTAAAATTAATAAAATTTTAATATTTTATAATATTTTCATATATTATTAAATATACAATATGAATTTGTATATGAAGCTCACCATGGAGTAACGAGCTAAGTATTTTTTAATGTAAATTTTTGTAAGGCTATGTAAAACTTAAATACTTGATATATTTTAGCGTTTAATAATTTTAGATTTAGTAAATAATCATATTTTTAATTAAATATTTAAATTTAATAAACATTTATTATATAAAATTTAATTAATTCTTATTTATATTCACAATAGGATAATCAATTAAATGATTATGTATTGATTACAGTCTACATTTTGTGATAGCTCACTACAACGCAATCTCACCCATATATTATATGGTGCATTTTAAATAGAAAACGGTCAGTTATGTTAATGCTTATAAATAGTGTATTTTTAAAATATAATTCAAACTCATTATTATAAACAATAATCATACATACTAGTATGAATAAAATTATTAAATTATATTGTAGCCTGTGTAGCAGGTGTTGCCGGTGTTGCCGGTGTAGCCGCTGTAGCTGGTGTTGCCGGTGTAGCCGATCTAGCCAATCTAACCGATATAGCCGGTGTTGCCGCCGTAGCCGGTGTTGCCGGAGTAGCCGGTGTAGCCGGTGTAGCCACCATAGCCGCCGTAGATATCACAGTTACCAGGGCTGTGATTATTATGGTTAGCACTAGTTTTGACATTATTATTATTATATATTAAAGCTTTTTAAATTTAATATATTGTATTAGTATAAAATTATTATTTTGATATCAGTTTATATACTATTAATAAATTTTATAAATTGTTATTCGAGTTTTAGTATATAAGTATATACACATTTATTATTAATCTTATATTTAATGAATTTATTTGCTTGTGTAAATAAAAAACAATTATGTTTAGCTTATTAATTAGACCTTGTACATAATAATATTGACAATATTATATTGTATAATTAAACGTGTTTCAATAATAAATCACAAAATTATACTCATTTAAAAAAAATATTCCATTGTTATGTATACAGTTTGCAGTGTAAAATAAATGTCTATTTTCTGTATGATATACAGCCATTATAAGTATTTCAAAAATAACCTGATTATAATCTTTTATTATTAACATTAAATATTGTCAAAATATTGTCAACTAATGTTATATAAATGATCGTTTGGGTGCAGAAAACCGGTATTTATTTTTCAATGCGAACTGTATTTATAACATAATCATTGTATTAATAGTATTACATATCACATTGAATACTACTAATACAATGATTATGTTATGAATACAGTTCGCATTGAAAAATAAATACCGGTTTTCTGCGCGCAAGCGATCAAATGTTAATTTATTTTAAAAAAAGCTACAATTTAATAGACTTGGTTTGGTTTGTATCCAATAATAAATAATGATTAAATGTTCAAGAATAACAGATATTGTTTTAAATTATATTACAGTTTTTATTAAATTAATATTTTTCGTTGCATAGTTAACAAGTTAAAAATTATTTTCAAAAATAATTGCCAAATTTTTAATTAATTTTTTATGCAACAAGGTTATTTAATTAATTACTCAAATTATTAATTAAAAAAATATATTCTATAAATTAAAATAATAAATATAATAATAATGCGTAAATTATTTGATACAGGTGTTGTATCATATTGCAGTATTAGCATGTAATTCAAAATGAGTTGATCCTAAACAAAATAATAATTATTATTAAAACCTCAAAAATAAATCAAGTTAAATTAATTACTATTTACCAATAATATTATTATATTTCCAGTTAGTGTGGACAGGTGGTTGTGTATTGTCGGTCAATTAGGTTCATAAAAGCCGGCTGTCGTTGCATTTCAAAACACCGGTCGTTCAGACACTTGTGTCCGACGCCTCAACCGCACACTCATCGGCATTACTGTCACCACAACTCGCGTACAATAATAAGCACATCGATGTCGACCACCACATCACCCCCACCGGCGACTACACCCAAGGGCTACGCGACGATCGCCATCGAGGGTAACGTGGGCTCTGGGAAGACCACATTCACGGGACACACCTACAGACAGTGAATGGTGGCGCATTATATAATTTGAATTTATACAGACATAGTTGATAATTGTATTATAGATTATCAGTAGATTAAGTATTTTAAAGTCGCAAATATTATTAATAATTAATTATTTGTGTTATACTGTATTTACGTACAGAGCACGCAATTGTTAATAAACTGTACATGATATTAATAATTTTAATACTTTATGAATATTTTATTATAATGTAATAATGGCTTTATTGAAACACAAAAATAATTTTTTTCTAAAGTATATAATTAATTAATACGGTAAAAAATCTACTATATTTATCATAATAAACACAAA